GCACTGGAGTGATGTATATGGTTCTGCCCTCCAAACTTCATCCTCCCAACAACCTTCTAAGGGAAGTTAGGCTGAGAGAGCATATCTGACAGGAACTCCTTAGCATATTAGGCGACACACCCCTAATGCAGCCAATCCTCCAAGAGCTTACAGTAGCCCCTGTAAGAAGAGCTCTGTAAGGTCTTGGAGGATTGGCTACATTAGGGGTGTGTGGCCTAATATGCAAAGGAGTCCCTGCTACAAAAAGATTAAATCTGGCACCATCTCCCTTCGTTGGCTCCATTGCAGAGTGGGGATCTGGACCTAGATCCCAACCAAGGAATCACACTGGCTCTCTCTCTCAAGATTCTAACCCAAGCCAGCAAGCTGCCAAAACTGCCTTCATGGCCTGCTTGTTGCCTGGCCTGAATTCTATGGAGAAACGTTTCGGCATCTTTATTCCCCATCAGGATGCTGCTCGGAGCACGCACACTAGAGCTATTCTGCAAAACAAGAGGCAGCAAAACCAAAACTACCTCCCACTCTCCCAGGACTCAGGACTCCCCCCCCCCCCATGCAAACCTGGGTCTTTCGGTCTCTACCTCCCCAGTAAGCTCTCCTTGATCTTCACGCTCATGTTTAAACTGACTCTGCTTGCCCAGGGCAGCGCAAGACAGAAAGCCGGTGCACACGCCAAGCTGGGCCCAGCCCCCATCATACATCTCAAATAAAAAGGAAGAAGCTGGCAAGAGAGACAGAGCCACAACCCTGCTATCGAAAGACAGCCAGCATCACTATTCATCATTATCGATACAGAGAGCTATACACTTAATCTCCATCTTAATTATTTAAGGTTTTTTTTTTCAAGCACCGTTGCTTTTGCCAGCTGGAAATATTTATGTCCTTCTCCAAAAAAAAACACCCCACAGAGACTTTAAAAGCCGGCTGGCACTCGCTTAGCACGAAATTAATACGCATGAAGACTGAACTACATTCCGGTCAGGGAAAAGCAAATTGGCAGGGCAGGGGCAAAGCCGTTTTATGCACACTCTGTGGATAAATGGAAAACCTCCGGCTCCAAGGCCGGGCAGCTTCTGTCCTTGCAAAATTCCCAACGACTGCGAGGGAAGCACAAAGATGCCCATTTCTGTACCAGTATTTTCATTCTGCCTGCCTCCCCTGCTGGAGTTCTCCATTCATTTCTTTCTTTTATACCGCACAATTCGTATATACCCACTGATGCAAAGAACGAGATTGCATATTTATCACTCCTTTCCTCCAAAGCATTCAGGGTGGCATACATAAGTTGGTGGGAAGAAATGCATTTTTTCTTTGGAGGTTTGAAATGAGCAAAACTTCCACTCTGAGTCTTAAAAGTTGTTTTTCTCTGGGCAGAGAAGAGGCAGGAAGGAGGAGGAGAAGGAGAAGACAAAGAAGAGGAGGAGAATGGATTTATATCCCACCCTTTGCTACCCGAAGGAGTCTCAGAGTGGCTTACAATCCCTTTCCCTTCCCCTCCCCACAACAGACACCCTGGAAGGTAGGTGGGGCTGAGAGAGCTCTCTCGAGAACTGCCCTTGAGAGAACAGCTCTGGAAGAATTTATGACTGATCCAAGGTCAAACCAGCAGCTGCACGTGGAGGAGTGGGGAATCCAACCTGGTTCTCCCATATTAGAGTCCACGCACTTAGCCACTACACCAAACTGGTGGGGGGGAGTCAGTTCAATTGCTTTCCAGCTGTACCTCAGCCCACCTTCATACAGATGCTAATAGATCTAGCTGGAGAGATAACAGGTGGGTCAAGCTCTCCCCCTTCTCCAAGCAGGGAGCCAAGATTTCATCGAATCAGAGAATGTTAGAGTTGGAAGGGACCTTGCAGGTCATCTAGTCCAACCCCCTGCACTCTGCAGGAGCATAGCCAAAAGATAGCCCTACAACATACCCAAAAGATGGTCGTCCAGCCTCCGCTTGAAAACGTCCAATGAAGGAGCATCCACCACCTCCCGAGGCAGTCTGTTCCACTGCTCAACCACTCTTACAGCAAGGAAGTTTCTCCTGATATTTAGCCGGTAACGACTCCCTTGTAATTTCCACCGATGGAGGACTTTAGACTAAAACGGCTCTAGGAATAATCTCCAGGAAAAAGCTACAGGAAATGGTTCTCTGATCTGGCCTGACTTGGTCAGTGGTTGGGGAAAAGAGAGGTGACAAAACTCAGAGAAGCAAGGAGGAAGCTCTCTTTGGCTGGTGTGGACTCCATAAGAGCAGACAGAACTCTTAACCGAGGAGGCAGCCATTTTGACCATGTGCTGCCCTAGAGAGCTACAGAAAGCTTCAAGATAATGGTAACTCTGTAGAGATCTGTAATTTACTAAGCTTTAGGAGCCTGCTCTATTTTAACATCTGACAGGACATGTATAAAGAGAGGGACAGAGAATTTGTGTGTTACCCATTTCTTTTGGAACCCCTTGCTCAATCTGATGCTGTGCTAAAAGTATGCTTGTGAACATTTTCTTTTTAATAAATATTTTATAATTTAAGATGCTGGCAGTGGTTCTCTATACCACATAGACCTTCACTGTCTCTGACGTTACTTTAAAAGAACCGCCAGGGAGAAGGCAGGCAGTTGGCAAGTGGCTATTCCTCCAAGGGTGTGCAAGGTAGTAAACTGTCCCCATGGTGACCAGGCACTGGGCAGCAGGAGACACAAAGACTCAGAACCTGGAAGGGAAGCTGGGACCCCGACCCACCCAGTGGGTAATTCCTGTGAAGGTCAGGTGGGGGTGGCAAGGTTACCAGAGAGAGAGAAAAGTCTCTCTGGGTGTTGAGAAAACCTTGGAAGGCAGGATGGAATAGGGCTTGCAGGCTGGAGTAGGCCCATTCCGCCACACTCTCACCTCCTATTTTGCCCTCACAACAAATCTGTTAAGTCGCTCGCTTAACAAAGCAGTCGGAGAGTGATTCAGCAAGAACACAGCTTTATTCTTCAATTCGAACACAACTCCAACACGGATCAACATCTGATAGCCAAAACAGCCTTACATTGCAGCTGTCCTGCTTTTAAACATTCCCGGCTAATATAGCCACACCCACTGTACAAATACCAACCAATACGGCTGTTCAGATAAGGACCAATCACGGACGTTCCCGCTCAGGGAGCTTGCTTGAAGGTGATTGGTTAGGTGCTTCCTGGGCTAGTAACACGATTGGATGTATTTGGATCCTAGCCCAGGATGAAGCTTAACATTACAAGTCAATGAGATGCTTCACATACATCATGCATTCCATGGCAGCTTTGGAATACACTACAAAATCTGTAAGGTGGGTCCAAGGTCAGCTTCCAAATGTCATGGCTGAATGTGGATTTGAACTCACATCTCCCCAAACCTAGAGTGACACTCTGTACCACTACGCCACACTGGCTCTCCCACTGGCATCTGATTCAGCCCCCTCCAGCTTCTGTCACTTCATTCCTCTGCCTGCACAGACCAGCCCTGTCATATTTTGTCAGCTGTCCCCAAGTCTTTATTAGGAGTACTTTCAACACAAAGAAGCAACCCGGCTTTTTAAAAGACACGTTCCTGCCCTGTCTCCCAGCACAATGCTCCTAAGGCGGCTTCCATGCAAGACAATGGTCTCTGTCTGTATGCTTTACAGGGAAGGGGATGGAGAGCCCCTTCCTGGCTCAGTAGGGTCAATAGCCTGATCAGCAGCAGATAGTTTTCTGGGAGAGGAAGCAGAGCTCAGAGGGTTAGGCACCCATCTCCACATCTCTGCTACAGATCCCGGAGAGCAACTGCCAGTCAGATTAGATTCAACCGAGCTAGATGGACCAGTGATCTGACTTGGTATAAAGTAAAGCTGCGGTGGCTCAAGTGGTTAAGACGCTGAACTGCAGGTTGTGGAAGGTCGGTAGTTCGGCAGTTCGAGACCCAAGTGTGCCGCATGACGAAGGGAAACCTTTACCTTTTACCTTTAAAGTAACTTCCAGTCAGTGGGCTTCATCGAGTCCCTGCAGGGCAGCTTGTTCACCACCACCCCGCCCCCTCCCCCCCTAACAAGGAGGGAAAGGAAAATCAATGCCGATCGTGTGCTGAGGGATGAAAACTGAATCTGGTCACTCTGTGGCTTACTTAAATCCTCTGTATCACTTTGTCTTCTTAAGAGACATCCATGTATGGGACCCAGCATATTTTTTACATTTTACGGAAAATTATGTCAGACACAACTATTTTCTTCACAACAGACCATCCGTCTGGGAAGACAGAGTGGGACGGACTCAGAGCACTCGCTTCTCCTTCAAGGTGGAAACGACATCTTAAAATCTGACAAAAGAAGTACACATTTCAACTCATTGCAGACAAGCTAGAATGACAGGCCAGAGCCCGGGTCAATGACTTTAAGTCTGGCCGGCCACATGTCCACGGAAATGTCTTCGGACAGCGCTGGCTCTTCGGCTTGGAAATGGAGATGAGCACCGCAGCCCTAGAGTCGGACTCGACTGGCTTTCGAGCAAGGGAACCTTTACCTTTAAAGTAACTTCCAGTCTTCCAGGCTTCATCGAGTCCCTGCAGTGCAGCTTGTTCACCAACACCCCGCCCCCTCCCCCCCTAACCAGGAGGGAAAGGAAAATCCATGCCGATCGTGTGCTGAGGGATGAAAACTGAATCTGGTCACTCTGCGGCTTACTTAAATCCTCTGTATCACTTTGTCTTCTTAAGAGACACCCCTGTCTGGGACCCAGCATATTTTTACATTTTACGGAAAATTATGTCAGACACAACTATTTTCTTCACAACAGACCATCCGTCTGGGAAGACAGAGTGGGACGGACTCAGAGCACGCGCTTCTCCTTCAAGGTGGGAACGACATCTTAAAATCTGACAAAAGAAGTACACATTTCAACTCATTGCAGACAAGCTAGAATGACAGGCCAGAGCCCGGGTCAATGACTTTAAAAGGAAATGTTCTTCCAAACAAGCTGCCATTTAAAAAAGATAAGAGGGGAAAATACACTAACCTGGGCTTCTGAGCCTTTGTAAGGATTGAGAGGTTGGTCCTGCAAAAACAAAAGCAGAAAGAACAATATTACTCTCCAGCAATCCATTCAGGAATAGAGACTCACACACAGGGCTATTTTGGGGCAGGAACGCACAGGAACGCAGTTCCGGCTGGCTCCCGAGCTGGCCACACCCAGCAGGAACTCATTAGCATAATAGACCACACCCAACAGCAGAAACTCATTAGGATTGGCTACATTAGGGGTGTGTGGCCTAACAAGCAAAGGAGTTCCTGCTACAAAAAAGCCCTGGGTTTTGACAACAAACAAGGTAAACAGAATAAGAAGCAAAAGGTGGGCGTGGCTGGACGACCACACTTCTGGTAACATGGGGGTGCGGCCTAATATGCTAATGAGATGTGTTGTCAGGGCTGTGGCCTAATATGCTAATGAGTTCATGCTGTTGGGTGTGGCCTATTATGCTAATGAGTTCCTGCTGGGCTTTTTCTACAAAAAGAGTCCTGCTCACACATAAATGAACACACGAATCTGCCTTAACCTGGATTAGACCATCAGTCTACTAAGGTCAGTACTGCCTCCTCTGGCAGGCAGCAGCTCCCCAGGGTCTCAGGCAAGAGGGGTCTTTCATGTCACCTGCTACCTGGTCCTTTCCAGTGGAGATGCCGGGGGCTGGAACCTGGGACCTTCCGCAGGCCAAGCAGAGGCTCCACCAACTAGCTATAGCCTCTCCCCACAAACAGGTCATGCAAAAAAACCACTAGCCAAGCTCAGCCCAAACAAAAAATAACAGTGCCCTTGAATGCTAACCTATATCGAAAGAATGTATTAAAATATGCATACCCCGCCTTGTGGGCTGTTTCCAGCATCTTTAAGAACTACCATCAACAAATATCCATAGTAAAATCCTATTGATGCAAAAAAAAGCAACCTTACACTATAACGAAAGTAATAAGCAGATGCTACTAGGAAAAACAACAAATTACCAAGATGCCACATGACCCAAGAGTGACTGAGAGCACTGCCACTTAAATTAGGGGAGACAAAGAGATTACTATATATATTTTAGCAGTACTACTTAGTATTTATATGGCACTTCCACTGTTCAAATGTTTCAGGAATTAAGCAGTAGCTACTGGTGAGTGGTGACCCCTTCCCAGGAGCTGAGGCTTTCATAGTCCCACCACGGATCTGTGACAAACTTTTTAAAGTTCTCTAGAAAAAAATGCTTACTGCAAAGAAATAATCAAACGCTTTTTCCAACATGACATTTACAATGAAAAGAATGACAGGGGATTTGTGTGTGTGTATGTGTGTGTGTGTGTGTTTTACTTTGAAGGAAACTTTCACACTTCCAAAACAGCTGTCCTTCATGGTCTAAGAGGCCACTGCTTTCTTTCTGTAGTAACCTAATTTAATTGGAAAGCTTAACGAAGTGAAACCGGGTCAATGGTGTTCTCTCTTTCACCTATCAGGTCTGTCAAAATTAGAAGGCTTCGCTTTTACAGTAGAGATAAATCCTCCTCTGTCACACTGGAAGGCTGCAAAGAGAAGTCTTAATTGTGCTACCTTCTTCAGCTACCTGGAATTCCACTCCTGAACGGCAAAAGATCAACAGGTGGCCGGCTTGTGCCCTTCCTCCTCTTTCCAAGCAATATGAAGTACAACTGAATGTAGATGTCAGAATCCTGGTTAAATCAGTTCTCAACACCATTCACTTCGAAGAAAGTTAAGTTTATTGAGACACTGCTGGATACCATACTGGACACGAGCTTTGTTAGAACTGAAGGTGAAAGCGTTAAGATTGCAGATATATTATGTTTATGCAAAGGCACTAAAAATCAGGACCCAATCACCCCATGGTATTTGCCCGCCAGAAATAACGGTCGATTCCCCCCCAAAACTAAGCACATACCCCTCTACATAAATAAAACAGAACAGGTCTCTGAGACACAGTGTCTGGCACATCAAAGCATTTAGGAAAGTGAAAGCATTTTGGTCTTCACACCCCTCTCCCCCTCCTCCTTCTATGGCAGGTAAACTATAAAATGCATAGTGAGCCTGACAGTAGGAATACAGCCCAATTTAGACATCAGGGCAATCTTAGGTTACTGTGAACTGGAGAAGGAATGAGGAGGCAGTGGGCGATTCTGCACTGGCTTTTCCCTCCGTTGTTCATACCAAACCCACGTTGGAACAGAAATTCCCTTCTGCATTGCATGCTGCTTTCACTTTCTTTGATCATCAGGTTTTATGGTACCTTCTGCATATAGTTATGGCTGTTCAGGGGTGACTTTACAGTCAGTGCAGCGTTGACCCGGGGTACTTGAATGTGGTTTTGTTCCAGCGTGGGTTTGGTAAAACAACAGAGGGAACAGCCAATGCAGAATCAGCCAGAGAGTAAAAGTGCAGGTGTGGCGCTGAAAGCCCAAGTCCCCCTCAGCAAGGAATGCAGACTTGAAGTCAATAATAAATCTACAAAACCATGGTTTGTTTGCAATGTCTTCCCCTTGGAAGCTGATCTGGTATCCACCAATGTTCCCTCTAAGCTGTGGAGTCTGGTGAGCAAAAATTCTACTTTGTGAGCTGCTGGCATTAAAGTTGTGAGCGAGCGATTTGGCTGCTGCATAAATCAGTTTGCTCTGGAGCCCTCCTTCCTGAGCCGAGACAAAAATGTGTGAGCCGGAGGCTAAAAAACTGTGAGCTAGCTCACACTAACTCAGCTTAGAGGGAAACACTGGTATCCACCCTTCTACTGTCCTTTAGGTACCAAGCCCAAACATTTCTTTCTACCCAAGCTTTTAAATGAGGTGTTCCATCTATTTTTGAAGCTGTTTGCTGCTAGCCTGAGGTATCATTTCAGACTGCTAAATATTGCTATACATTATTTTTAAACATCCCCCTTTTCTTTTTTATGATTTTACTGCATTGTTTTTACTTTGCAAGCCATCTGGAGCAGATCTCTGAAGAAGTGTCATCTGAATTGTCTAAATAAACAAACGTCTGAGGCAGGGTAGTGCGGCTGTGATGAAACACTGGCAAGTGGCTTTTGTAAAAATCACTCCAGCGGTCTGCTGATGTGAACAGGGTCATGTCAGAGCAACTGACTCATAGATTATCCTGGCCTCCTCCACAAAACAAAACAATATAAACCAAAAAAAAACCAAACCTGTTGATTTCACTTTTCAGTACTTTGTGGCAAGAGGCGTTCACGTCTCATAGGCAATGGATAAAATATCCGATGTTGTTGCTAGTGCTAATATGTCTAACAAGGAACCCAACCTTCTCTTGAAATGGTTTCCTTTTCTAGAATTTATATTTAACACTGACTCTGCTAAATTTAGGGTTGCCAGGTCTGGGTTGGAAAATACCTGGAGACTTTGGGGGTGGAGCCAGGAGAGGGCGGGGTTTGGGAAGGGGAGGGGCCTCGGCAGGGTACAATGCCATAGAGCCCACCCTTCAAAGCAGCCATTTTATCCAGGGGAGCTGATCTCTGTCAGCTGGAGACCAGTTGCAAAAGCGGGAGATCCCCAGGCCCCACCTGGAGGCTGGCAACCCTAGCTAAATTCAAGATTCCTCAAAAATACTATGAAGTTCTTCATTGCACGTAAACTTATCTGAACAGCATTACGACATACATTATTACCTTATATAATTCTAAGGTTGATATTTGTTATCACTGCATTTTGTTTTTTTCACTGTTTAAAATTTTAAAAATTAATAATAATAAAAAAAAAGACTTGACACCGGTAGTCCAAGTACACCACGTGCATGAGCCATTTTGTGAAAGCAGCTGCTGGCATGGTGATCGGAGGATCCAGCAGAGGACAAAACAGTTCTGGGGGGGGGGGGGAGGGGGGGTTTTCTGGAATAAGAAAACATAAGGGGAGGAAGAGAGGAATAATTGGGAGAAACGGTGGTAGCAGCAGAGACAGCAGTAAAGGAAACAAAGGGAGGAAGAAGGCATGTTGTTTCATAGAGAAGCAAGTAATAATTTATAACCTATGAAATCTGTGGGCGGGGGGACTAGAATAAATTTTGCCAGGATAGGCACAGCAGGAACACCCAGTAAAGGTCCAACATGAAACAGCAGGGGCTATGCCGACTAAGATGAATCACACCACCAAGGTGTTCTCTCACACACATACACACGGCAGGCACACAATATTCTCAGTTTTGCAGCCTCTGCACTACAGAACATCCTTGGAATCCAACCCTTAGGGGGGAGGGGGAGAGAAAGCACAGAAGCCATGCTTTACAGCAACAGCTTTGCCTTGCAGAAAGGGGGAAAGGTTGCAGGGCGATGGCTCTAGTTTCCATTTCCCGGCCCTTGGCTGAAGCAGGAGCTGACTGCTAGCCGGCGCTGGACTGATGGATAATCCGTTGCCGTGTCCCACCCCACAATGCAGCATAACCGAACATAATCCAGCACTGTGCCAGCTTAATCAAGAAAATCCAAGCAGCCAGCCTCCTCTGCCCATACGACGATTCTACTTCCACCCTGACGGAACCCAGAAAAAAAAATAGTCATTGACTGCTGTCAATAAAGACCCAAGGAGTTATGTAAGCAATCAGGTACTTGCAACCTATGTGAGAAATAACTAAATTTTGGTTCTTGGGACTTCAGTACGACTCCATGGGACCAAGACCGTCCACCACCAATAGCCCCGGGACTGTCTAGCACTGCCTGACAAAAGGCTCAAAAGCTATTACTTGCACCTGTCTGCTCACTAAGGGTGATTCCGCACTAGACCTGAAATCCTGGTTCAAACCTGCCCCCAAACTTATATTCTACACTACACTCGAGTTCACCCCTGTAGTTATCTCAGGGTATTTTTTGTTTCCACATTACATTGAGGTCACCCCGGTTTTGCCCCACACTTGTCCCGGGATAAATGGATGCTGTTATAATGAGGGATAAATGCAAGGTGTTGTGTCGCGAGTTGAGCTCTGATAAAACCTGGGTTGAGATCCAAGTGTGGAAAGGATGCCTGCATTATAACATCACCGAGCAGCCACTACGGCTGTTCGAGTACCACCGTGGTCGAGGTGAGCTCTCGACCTTCACCCCAGCTCCCGCCTACCCAGCGGTCTCGAAAGCAACTTAATTGCAAGTAGGTAAATGGGTACCCACCCTTAGAGGGGTGGGGGACACCCTGTGTGGCTGGCTGAAGACGACGATGGCAATGGCGACGACAATGACGGAACCTGGCGCAGACGGCAATGGCGACGTGGCGCGGCGGCGGCGAGCGAGCGTGATCAGGAGGCACGCGGCAGAGCGATCCCTGGTGGCGGAGGAAGAATACACCGACAGCTGCTGAGAAAGACGAAGGGGCATGCACAGATGCCGAGCACCAGCCCAGCGGAGCCGGAAAGGACATAGCCGGGCCGGAAGCAGGCGAAGCTGCGCGTCTGGGAAGATCGCACCACCACCGAACGCCAGAGAAGAGATACCTCCGCCAAGTCCAGAGTCCCGTCTAACCGAGCCGAACCGACCCGTCAGAGAACATCATGATATGCCACCACAGAGGGGGTGCTGGTAGGCTGTCCCATTCCCTTACATACATTGTGGCCTTAGCTAGGGACAAAAAACGGTGATTAGCACCAAGGTACTTGTAAGCCGCTCAGAGACCCCAACTATGGGATTAGAGCGGGATATTAAATTGAAAGTATAAATAAATAAATAAATATAAATAAGTGTTCACTGACTGGTCAGCTCTCAGTACCAAGCCCAGAGTGAATGGGAATCCCAGCTAAACCTTCCAATGTCTGGTCTTGAAAATCGTCCATTCCCATTCACTGGACTTCACCTTTCCTCCACATACAAAAACACTCATAAAACCTGTGATATGTACGTTGCGCTTGAACTTGCTCCCCCTGATGTCACCCAAAGCATCAGCTCCCAGTGGATAAGACCTGAGAACACAGAAATGCTCTGGGATAAAGCAAGGGGGCATCTCAGCCACATTTTGATGTTACATGAACAAGACCGGGGGAACTTTGCTGGCTCACTCATACAACTCCCCTCCCACAACCCGATCCAATCAAAGACTCACGTTTCATGGCCCACCACAGCTTCTCATTATACTATAGCTTGCTTGCTTTCCTACAAACTCATATTAAACCTGAGTTTGAAATCTCAAGGACCCCACAGGCTTGTTCATGTAATGATAATTAACCAGTGGCTTCTTGTTATGCCGGGATTCAAAATCCAAACCATGGTTTAAGCTTCCAGAAGGCAAACTATGCTTTAAAGATGCTTGTCTGCTCTCTTATTCCATCATACCACAACTTTACAAGATCCTTCCAATATGGTGCAGAAGTCTCTGTATGCTATGCCCGTAGCTATGGTTTGTCAGTTCAGGAACCAATTCAAAACCACCATTAGTCTGTGTAAGCATTACTGAAGATGATGGGAAATACTGAAAATTTCATGGTTAGGAAACATCTCTGCTGTTAAAATGAACATATTACCAAAGCTGAATTTTCAGTTTCAAATGTTACCAACCTATATAGATGAAAAGAGCTTTAAAAATGGCAGAAAACAATAATTTTGTATGAAGTAGGAAAAACCAAGAATAAGATTTAAAATATTACAAGATTAAAAAAGAGGAGTGAGTTCAGCCACACCAAATATCAAACTGTATTGCCAAGCAGCCACACTAGTCTGGATACAGACTGGATTAGAAATCCAAGTAGAAGGAACATTAAACTGGAGAAAACTGACACTAAAGGAGGAACCCAAAATTATTTACGGACTAAGAAATCATTCAAAACCAATCAAAGACAAGAAGGCATCATGACACTCATATTTTGAGGGACGGACTATTAAGAATATGGTTTCAGTGCAGACACAGAATTAAGTCTGCCAACCTTGCCACTGACGTCACTAATGTATGCCTATTGCAATATTAGTATATAAGAAATAAAATGGACTATATACATTACGAGTATATGATGGACCAACAAGGGAAAATAAAATCTCGGCGAGAAATACAAGATGAAGGAAAAAATATTCTGTGGTTGTTCTACTATCAAATGGTGTCTAAATTCAAAGAACAAATAGTCAAAGAAGGGGGCCACTTAAGAGAGATACCGGCTTTTGAACAATTAATCACTGGGGGTTTAAAGCACCTATTATGAAAAAATTATAAAATATTATTGCAATATGATACAGAAACAGAGCAAGTAAAAATTGTATGATAAAATGAATGCAAAATTTTGGAGAAAATATATGCATGAGCCAGTGGGGAAATCTATGGACTAAAGAAATTAAATGTACTAAATGCCAAATATTAACAGAGAATTGGTATAAAATGTTTTTAGATGGTATATTACTCCCAAAGACATTGCAAAAACTAATAAGGAGTACAGTGGAAAATGCTGGAAATGTCAGAATACGGATGCAACATTTAATTTATCAAATGTGGTGGACTCGTTAAGAAAGCAAGAAAGTATTGTGTAGAATTCTGTACATGGAGAAATGCAAAAGATGCTAAAATTAAAGTTTATGATGGATCCCAAAATATATCTTCCCAAGCAATACTACAAAAATGCACAGTGAATTGTTTAAGGATATGGTGATGGCAACAAGAGAAATATTTGCAGGAAAATGGAAGGCAGAAAGATATCCAGATCTGAAGAAATGGAAGAACAAACTACATGAATATGCAACAATGGCAAAACTAACATCTTATATTCACAACAGACCGATCTTAGAATTTCAAGGAAAATATTTTTAATTATATTGCTGAAAATTAAAAATAAATTTAAATACAAATTAATGATATAATTAAAAAATGAAAAGAAGAGACTGGCAACATATGTTAGCAATAAAATCATTTTTAGATATGCAGATGGATGGAAAATACATAATAAAGATATTTAATAGAAGTGAAAAATCAAGAATATATATGAACTATATATCATGATTTGATAACTATATGATCTAATTGATTGTAGTTTTTGCTCTATGTTTCTTTCTTTTCTGTATGATTTAGACAATATGACTTAGAAAACTGTAGACCACTGTAGTTGTGAATGATTGTAAAAATATGTTTTAGATGACTGCATAATTGTAGTTCTTGATCTATGTTTGTAAGTTTGTTAACTGAAATTAAAAATCTATTATTAAAACAAATCACAACTACCATAACCTATGTTTGCAAACCCTCCATGCTTCAAAGTCATGGTTGCCAATTCCACTTTGCCAGCCAGTCACAAGGCATCACATGGTTAATGTGGACAACACTGAATGCTAGTTGTTTCCTTCACCATAGTTTGGTGGGATATCAGATTTGAGTCTCAGTGAGAAAGACACGGAAAGTAAACCCAAAGAACAACGACTGTCTGCAGCTTAAGTCATGTTCAAGGTCCAAAAACCTCACTTGATCGAGCACTTACAAATCTCTCCAGGTCACCAGAGAAGGCTCTGCTCCCTCTCTGCCTGTGAAAATAGCTCCACAAGGGCCTTTTCAGGGGTAGCTCCTATTTTGTGTAATCCTGACATTTCTTTGACCGTTTGCCTTCTGTTCCTTGGAAAGTTTTATTGTATCCTCGCATTTAATACTTGCTTTTTAGATGCTGCTGCTATTATGAATTGGTATTTAGGCTATATCCATTTCATCGGTGAGCTTTACATTATATTGTGCATTTTCTACATAGTGCCGTGGACAATTTTTTTTATTGAAAAGGAAGGTAATATTGTTTGGAGACCAGAAAAATCATGAAACTCTCCAGCTGAAAGTGTCTTTATTCACCTGACAGCCAAATAAGGCAGCAAGGAGGGGGGGAAACCTCACGGGGTGCACTAAAGTGGATTCAGAAGACAGGAACAATAATTCTACACTTGGCTTCTGGCACCAAATTCACCTGTCAAAGGAGAAGTAATTAGACTCCTCGCTGTACCTGGGATTGCTGTTATATTATTATGATAAAGTTGTCAGGAACTATTAACCATTAATTTGATCCTGAAACTGGTGCCAAGGAGGAGACTTTTGCAATACACTACATCACTTCTGAGGCAACAAGAAATTCAGCACGTAAAATCTGATATCTATTAGCCAGTAGTTCCAGTTTCAATGTGTGTTTTTCACTGTAAAAAACAATTTTGACAATTCTTATTGATCACAGTTCAGCCCAGTAACAACAGCCCACAATGAACATTTGTCTGTTGCTTTCCAAAGTTCTTCAGAGGAGGTATCCTGGATGTAACCCTTACAACAAGACTGTCAGGTGGGTTGATATCATCCCTGCAATTTAGCTGGCGGGGCAGAGGTTTGCCTAAGGCCATCCAAAGCACTCATGGAGGAAGTCAAATTGGAACCCGGTCTCAGGTCCTGAATAAATACACCAGGGACTCTTTTCAACTAGGCACACCGACTTGCCAATAAGTGCCATGGAACACAGACACTGTTTCCAGTTGAGGGGGCTGAGAATCAGGCTGCATGCGCTTCGGCACACTGGAGTTTCCTACAGCTTTCTCTCTTTTTTTCCATGCTAAAGGAAAAGGCAGAATTCTGTTCCGATGAAAGTTAGGTTATGCAGCCTGCATAAATTAAAACATAACCTATTTATGAAAATGTTGGCTTCAGAGGGGCCCACAGACGCACCGTTCGATGGCTCCAGAGGGGCACACAGACACACCGTTCGATGCCACACCTGCTTCCTGTGTCCTCTCTGCCTGCGGTCCGTCCTCTCTGGCGCAGACGGACCAGGAGCAGACTGGAAAGAGACCATGGCCCTGGAACAAGCCAAGCTGAGGAGTCTTCGTGGCACTACGAACCAGCACTTTTTCCTTCAAACTGACAGCCCTTTGGGAGACAACAGGTGAGGAGACACCAATGACCCTTGCTGATAATCTGAGCCACGTGGCCTCTGGCAAAGTTGCTAGGGTTTGGCTGTGCCGGTGGCCCACCTGGAAATTCCCCTGTCAGTTAAATGGGGACCGTCTCTCCCCATATGTGCCCCGAAGAGCCTCGTGCTCTTCTGAGCAGCACTGCCTAGCAGTCCCCGGCCTGAAAGACGTCCACCTTGCCTCAACCAGGGCCAGGGCCTTTTCAGCCCGGGCTCCTGCCTGGTGGAACATACTCCCAGTTGAGATCAGGGCCCTGCAGGGTTTAGTACAAGTCTGCAGGGCCTGCAAAATGGAGCTGTTCCCCTGGGCTTTCAGCTGAGGCGGCAGAGGTCCAAATGAGATCGGCCTTCCCTGCTCAACGCGATCAATCTGTTCAGTCTGCCTCACGACACCTGCCTGCACCAACGTGACGCCAGTACTAGCTGACCTCGGCTGCTCTGATAGAAACGAGCCCTCCCTAA